ACTCTTTCCTTCAATTCACCCCGCGAAAGGTTTCAAAACAACTGGAATACTTGCATGGCAAGGAGCGAACCAAGAGACCCGTAGAAAATCGTTGGTGCGGCGAGGTAGCTCGTCGCGTGCTTCTTTATTGAAAACTGTAACAACCGACCTGGGAGGATGACGGAGGAGGTCAAACGGGGTGAGAAGGGGCCGGGGGTTGCGAGCGTTTACGGGTGCAGATGAAACGGGCCTTAATCACCACGGTGGCACGCTGAGATATCGAGGAGAAAAAGAAAGACGTGGATCCGAGGCCGTTGGAAGAAAAAGAACTCGGATGCCTCCGCACTTAGCATAATGTTCACCGCGCCTGTCATTACCCTGGACCGCTAACATGCCAACCTAACACCACACAACCAAACACCCGACAACCCCTAGATCCTCGGCTCTCGGGATACCGGAGGACACGCGAGGATGTGCCAACAGACGTTAGTTAACTCGGCATCACGCAGCTACGAAGCTACGAACGAGCTTACCCGGAATATTGATAGGGTGAGCGTGATTCCGTTTAAATTAACACCGCCTCGTCCCGCCAGGACCAATAGCGTAATCATCGGCGCCGACGAGGACGCATTACCCGGGAAAATGCGGCTAGCGAGTCGCGGGACTGAAAAATTAGGTTAAAAATGACGGCGATACTTACTATGTACGCATGGTTAACTAGGCGCTACCGTGGTTGCAACAGAGTTTGAAGGAACACGCTGCTAGTTATCTCGGGGGTATTTATCTCGTTAGAACAGGGACCCGGTTGACTGCGTTATCGACACGTTTGCAAATAATAGTGCGCTTTGATTATGTGTTTGCCTTTCATAAGCTGATGAGATTAATTCGTGTGGGACGAACGTTTGTGTGCGTCAGAGTGTACGAGCCGGTTACTATTATAGGTTGTAGCTATAGGATGTTACTTTCACGATATCAAATCTAATTTTAAGACGACGGGATGAAATGAAAGTACGGGGTGAAGTAGACCGAAATTGAGTGGTTGATTATTAATTATTTCGGAGTTGTAATTAAAGGGAGTTGTAATTTAAACAAATGTGTCTTTACGACAGAAAAATTACACCTTTGCGCTCAACAGGTGACGCCTCGGTCACCGTTAGGTTTGACTTCTTTTGTCTTGACTTCTAATGTTTGTTTAGGTTCAATTTCTTTGGAACTCGATGTGTCAATAAAATGATCATCTGTGACACGCAAATCTCAAATTAGAGATCTCATCTTCGAAGTCAATCTAAGCTTAGCATTCGTGGCAATAGAATGCTAAGAAAGCATCTCGAGTTGCTGGAAGATACCAGAAAAAAATGCCTCGAGTGCAAAGGGTTAATAGCGTTGTTATTTCACGTGATTGTATAGAAAAATAACGAAAATAAAAGTAAAATAGATTATTGACAAATACTGCCTAAATCAGTCCGCATAAACCAACGCCAACTATAATAGAGCAAAATGAATCTTATACAACCCAGTAATGGTAGCATAAAACATAAATATTGTGTACGTATTCTTTACTAATAAAACAAATGAATCTTTCGAGACAACCTAACAAGAGACAATCTATTTCGAATAGATATCTGAGATGCAGGACGCAGGAGTATATTCATTAGCGACGTTGCGCGCAACTGAAATGAAAGAACCAAGCAATACGGACCAAGAATTTCGTTAATCCGGCTCAGTTACACGCGACCCAATTTCGAAGACGACGCGAAGCCTCGGTGGTCCATGGGCTGAAGATTGAACCGGTAGCAATTCGTACAAAGGCACCGGCACCTTCGGTGCTCTTTCGACTCTCTAACGAGAAGATTAGACCTAACGGCGTTTGGTATCCCATAAATCGCCGGCGCCGCGCATTAACCACGGAAAGAAACGAAGCGATTTATGGTCGTGCCGCGGCGTAAATTCATTCTCGCGGAAATATCTTCTCCCCCTACGAGACGGCCGGCACTGTCACTGATGTATCCCTGAATGAGGAATCGTGAGATCGTGTCCCTGGATACGGCGGAGCGGAGGCGATTTCGTAAGAGCGTTCGGTTGTACCGACTCTGTCCCATCGTTGACCTTGGCCAGGATTTAACACGCTTTGGAGAAAACCTGAGAACCGTCAGACGGTTTCCCCGCTTTCCGTTGTCTCCCTGTCGCGTTGGTCCCCGGAGGATCGCGAATTTGCATAAGGCACAGATTCGAATCGGGGTACTGCAACCAACGAAACGGGATACCTTCCGCTTCGCGATGCAAAGCGTCGGTGGTATCGAGATTAATTTATAACGCTTTCGTTCTTTGAAACTGATATCGTATATCCTTATCGGGCCAATTACACGAAAATCTACCGAGTCTCTGCGAACACCTTTTTGGTGGATGTTGGTAACAATGTGTCTATTTGTCAACGTCTCTGGTAAAGCTGTTGGTTTTATTAGACGGGAATAAAGTGAGTTCTGCGATTTTTAAAATGGATAGAAGAATTTTGTACCTACTGACTGACCTATTCACGTAAAGTGGATACTTTCGGTGTTATTTCTAACAAGGGACCATACCGAAGTGTAAATGATCAATCTTGATGAAACTTGCTGTGTTTGTAGTTCTCATAAATTCATTGAATACATATTTTTTTTTTTTAACCGCTATTATTCACTTTAAGGGGTTGAAATCAGCTCTCAAACTTGGGAGTGCAGAACATACTTTGTTGACGATTTTGATGGTGTAAATAGATTCGCAAAATTCCCATTTGTCCTTCCTCGTCACAAAATGTGTGCGAATGTCTAACCAAAGTAATAGTAATAAAAACAAATGCAAAAATAATCACGAAACCACCCGTAAACCACGGTAATAGAAAATGATTGAAACTCATGGATTAAAATGAAATCGTTCCGATCTCGGGCGCTTTTACTGTCATAGAAATATTTCCTTTCTTTTACCGCGCGTTTGTTAATTTCGCACATTCCTAAGAAAACCGCATTTCTGACGGGGTACACCTTGTACGAACCGCGAAGTGAACCGCGCGAATGGCAGTCTAATTAACGACGCTCATTTTACTTCTCTAACTTCACGCGTAATGGTTGCGCTTTTAGCAAAAGGGAGCATTCCAGTCTGCGTGATACTACTATGTGGTTGGGAAGCTAATCTTGATCGGTAACAGGAAGCAGCCGTTACAAGTGCGAACCATTGTAAAAACGATTTACCGCGAAAAAAAAGAAAGTTGATTTACGCTCGGTGAGAGATTCCCGAAAGACGCGCTATCCGATTATGGAAATACGTCGACGCGATAAGACCACCGCAGATCCTTCGGGTGATTTTGCACGGCTGGACGTTATTGCGCGTGCGGCTCGGAACCAACGGGAATGGATTTCGTTCAAGGATTGATACGGATAATGATAATTGTGTGATGTAACGACACCGTCGATACAAACGATAATTCCGTGTTCGTACTCTCGCTTTAATCGGTTGCCAAACCGACGTGTCACGAGCAAGAAAACTCGAATCCCGTACCTCTGATAAAGCTGATAGATGCATATGTCCGGTTTTAACTTGTCCAGTTGCTGTAAAACTGCAGGCTTCTTACCATTGACAATGATTGAACGTATCCTGAACATAAATTTATGTTATCTAGCTTATTTTATTGTAGTGGAAAAATAGATAGCATGAATAATAAAATAAGCTAGATGATGGCGCCTGCATGTTACAGATACCGTGTTTAGATACAGAAACCGTACGTAGTTTTCTCTGTCTAGCCACTTTAGAAGATCGAATTCTATTTAAATTGTAACCAAGTGTCTCGCGTTGCAATGACTTTCATTTTGAAGTATTTCAACTAAACGTTCCTCGCAACAAAGGGGTGCAAATAAATCGCGAAAGACGTGGATATTTCGACTCTATCGACTCATCAACATCATCTCCGCCGCGTTATTTCAGGATTTGCGTGCCTCACCTCGCGAATGAAACGAAACGAAACGAAAGAAACAGGGAATTGCGTGGCCACGGTTACCACAATAACTCATAATCAGTTGTTGCGAAACACGGTCCACGGCGCGGGTGTCGCGCGTTCCAGCAATTTCACGTCCTCAGAATGAACGATTCAATCTGCACCGGCGGGATCGCAAATTCATGTCGTTACACGACTCTTGTGCGCATATCTTTAAGGGCTTAACCGAGGCTTACGTTGCGAAATACCGACTCGTTGTAGCTGAGCGTTCAAGTAAGTGGGAGGAGAGTAATCGAGCGCAAAGTGGGCGTACAGGCTCCCACGAAGGAAGCCAACAGAAAGGTCTCTCGCCCTTCGAAAAGTTCGAGCATCTTTCGTTGTCGCGTTCCTCCGGTCTACACATGGTTCTTTAACGCTAGGTTTATCGAAATTTCTTGTGCGATACTGCCCAAATGTCTTAAGCTACCACGCTTGCATTATGAAATAAATATTGCGTGTACACGAAATATTACGTAGTTCACCTGATACACCAGTCTTCTTCTCTCTACCATTAGATACATGTATGTGACCCTTCGTAACCAATTATTAATTCTTTCAATAAAATTCGTGCCATTTGTGTACCAATTAATCGAAGTAGTTATCAGGCGTTCCTGTTAATTTCTACTCTTTTTCAAACAGAATATGTGTGTTTGTATAAAATGAAATAACCAAATCGATATCAAATAATTGCTAGTAATAATAAGAAAAGATCGTAATGTAACCGAAATGTAATATAAAAATTAAATATATTTTATATAATTAGGTAGTATGTAACATAGTCCGACAGATAAACGTGTAATTTTAATATAATTTCTTAAAATATCTTGCGGTTCGTTTTACGTTATAATTTTGTTTATTATTATTAGAAGTTGCGTTATATTGGTATTACATTATACAAACAGACTTCCGAGGGCCGAAGTGGATGCAAATCCAACGGATCGGTGCATAGGGATTTCAATTGAATGTCCGTTGAAGTCACAAATTGATGTCGAATATCCTTCTTCATTCTGTTGCGCAGCGCGAAGATGAAACACAAAAGGCAGTGAAGCTAACGATGAGAGAAAGAAGATTTATCAAATTTGCATCGGTTGAATTCGATGGGCAACTCTACATGACGCCGCAGGACTTCCTCGACAGTGTTGTTGAACCCGAACCCAGACGTGAGTATTAAATAAATTTGCACTGACAGCAATAGCACTGCCAGCCTACGATAGTAACTCGCTCCGTCTATGACGACGTATGCCATTGTGATATGCAACAACGTATATTAGTGGGACACGATGCTGTGTAACGTAGTAAAGTCAAAACAGAATCTGTCTTACATATGAAATTCAATTTGGTAAAATACAATATTGCAAGAAAAAAAAAGAAAAAGAATATATCACTCGTTTCGTTGGTATCGATCGATAAACAAATTAATAATGGAACTATTTTTCTTATTTTTTCTCAGGCGTACAACCCCTCTTATTGTATATACATCGTATCTATGATACAAATTACAAAATAGAAAGCTTATTTTTTATTCGTTATTCGAAATCGTTATCGATCATTCACTGCATAGCATGCGCTGTTCCACGTCCAAAACGAGATTTCTAAATAAACCGTTTCGCAGGACGTTTCCTCGGTCCTTTGATACGTTTAATTTGAAAATATGCAAACCGCCAATGACGATGCAGTGAAATCGCCCGTTCCTCGATGAAGTCCATTGCACAAAGCAAGTAAACGAGTGTATATTTCGGTGGTATTTTAGCGAGGCTGAAGAGACGCGTGTTAGCTGAGAAGGAGCTCGATGTGATGAGAAACAGTGTCCCTTCACTGCGTCAAGGAAGTCCACATATGTTCAGAAACCTTCGGGACAAAGGTGAGTAAGTCGGGAAGTATACGTCGGGACTTTTGACTTTCAAACACTTGAAAGAAATCTTAACGACGTACCGTGTATACAAAGCTGAATGGGTCTGTTCACTTTTGAACTGAAAACAGTTTTAAAAGGTTGGTAATATAACGTGATAAAATGATAAATATTTTTACTTCAACTACAGTTGCAAATGATTGCAAGTAAACGGAATCAATTTCTACGTATAAAAAATATAAATATATAATGCTAATTAAATAAAACACAAGATTATCTCAGTTTTTTTTTTTTATAGAGGAAAAAATACGTTTCACCGCTTGAAACAGTAGTTTGTTAACTCTGTATATGCTTCTTTCGGCTCGTATATACGAAATACGACCAATGAGATAGCTTCTTTACGACTCGAAGCGTTAATTCGTTATTTTTCCCCCGCAGGCGAAAGATCAAGCTAAAAGATCGGTTTTTACGAGACTGCCGCGAACGCTTCGAGGATCCGAAGGTGGAGCAATTAATTGCGCCACCCTTGCGATGATTAAAATAACAGGGCTGCGCCGTTAACGAGTCGCAGACCTCGTCGGGCCCCTTTCCTGACTTTTTGCGCATTCACCGCACGTTTGTCGCGCTAATGGAAATGCAAATAATCGCGAACGAAGCCAGTTTCACACTTCCCTCTAATAAACGAGCACCACCGTCGCTCTTTGTATGCCACTTTCTCTTTTTCTCCTCCGCACGTGAGACCCGCGAACCAGAATTTCATGGTCGAATATACGAGCCTAACTTGATCCACTCAACGTTAAGGACGTTCCTTATGATTATGGGACGTCTCGAATAAAGCCCTTCAGGCTACGTACGAAACGAACGCCTCGTTACCAATATCGATCCCTCTGCTCTAGAAAGCTACGAACCTATTCGGCTCGTAACTAGACGAAACACTTCCTTATTGCACTATGTGTTGGTGTTCTGAAACGGGTCACGTGATTTTTACGAATAATAATTCTCAGGAAATTTATCCACCTACGATTCAACTCCCTATCCTCGAATACGTCGTGCTCAGCCTCGTATACAAGCTGAGCTTCTTAAGATCTTTCAAAAACGATACTCGAAAATGGCAAGAAGAAAGTTACCGAAAGATACTACATCACGGAGACTGTAAAGTACAATCTTTACATATGAACATTACGTTATAATACATTATTGTGCAAACATATATCTAAAGTTCACGAAAGAATTAATCAATTTTCTTTATCCTTCATAATCTTGCATATTATGCACTATTCATTAAATTAATTCCGATCAATACGACACCTATGTCTAAAAATACGACCGCAAAGGGTTAATAGTAATCACGTAGGCAGTACTTGTCTATATATTCCTTGCCATTTTATTAAAGAACATCTGAACAACGTCCTAACGACTTTTCTGAAAAATCCTTTACGATACCAGTCACCTATAAATTTCGCAAAAAAGAAAAGATATTTTTCAAATCTGCCTTCGGGTAAAAAGAAGTTGCCAACCACTGTGTAAACTTTAGCGCCGTATAACTTCATCCCAAGGGGGTGTAAACCCGAGATGATCGTCCCGACGAGTGAAACGCGTCGTGAACGGCGGTACTTTCACCCCGTTTCCTTCCAGGATACTCGGCTTTCTTCGTTTTTCCGCTTCGTAAATTTTCCTCGCGCCCGACGCCGTGAGCGCGTTTTATAGGGTGCTTATAGGGCAATAAAATTGATTTTATGCCGGCCACAAAGCCGAAGCACGCGGAAGGGTGTGTGCTCCGTGGTTGGAAATTTAGGTAACGCGACGATCCTTCACCGATCGCCGTTAAGACTCTGAGTTATCGGACGTTTCTTCGGCCGCGAGAAAAGGGATGCCCGACAGAAATGCCTAGGACGCCATGAGGCGTAGCTAATGTTCGTGGCTACTTTCCTAGATCTATTGTAACTCGCTACGGTTACGTTACAGAAGTAGTAATTAATGCATAGAAAGCGATACACCCTTTGTGAAATTTCAAATAACGAAACGATATCGTCACGAAAATTTTGTTCATGTAATTTGAAATGCTTCTACTGACAGTGATAATAATAATAATAATAATAATAATTTTTTTCGTTGTTTTTAGGGATCATTTCTTACACGGAATATTTGTTTCTCTTATCCATTCTAATCAGTAAGTACTTCTGTCTAATCTAAAACGTTTACATTTATATTACTTGCATGAAAATGGTTCATTATGATCAAACCGTAGATGTTTATGCATCTACTTTCATTCAAGTTTCGATTCATTTTCTGTACCTGTGAAAATATGATTTTACATCCGCAGTCTAATTATTATCCATACAACTTGAACGGATCTAAAAGATTTGAATTTTGAAATTTTATTTCAGAACCCAAGACAGGTTTCCGTATCGCGTTTAACATGTTCGACACTGACGGAAACGAGCGCGTGGACAAAACCGAATTTCTTGTGGTAAGCCAGCTGTTCCACATTTTTGCATGCATCAATTTTTCCTATATTTCCATTGGTGCATGTATATCGATGGGATAGAACGACGTGATTGTTCTTCGGTATTTTAGAAATATTTACTGTAAAACGTAAGTTCAGTCGATGGCGCAACCAGTATTTTTGCAAGACCTATGCAATTAAAAATGACCAGAGGCGAATATCTCGCGATATTTTTCAACGACATACTTTATTAGATGAGAAGTTTATGTAACTTCTTGTGCGGTATTCAACTCCTGAAACCTTTTTAATTTTATTAAATTAACAGAGACGATTACGTCGCGACGCTTTCCAACACGACAATTTATCAGATAAAAAGTTGACGTGACTCTTTAATGCACTATTTAACTCTCTGAAATCTTTTTAATTTTAATCAATAAACAGAGGCGAGTTTATTACGTCACGATGCTTTTCAGCAAGAGATTTTATATAACTTTGTTGTGGATAATTTAAATCTCTGGAATTTTTGATACTTTATGAAAGTAACTGTAAAGTTAAATATTTGTACGATAAATTATAATATTTGTCTACATTATTGAAAAGAATGATCATTACAAACAAAAAATGCTTGTTTAAACTCATTTTGACGACGTGTACGTTTGCTTTTACATAAAAAAAAAAAAATACGATACTGAAATGAGACAGCATAGATAAAAATTGTTTTGGTTGTGTATATGCGAATAAAGCAATAAAAAATACGTTGAAGGAAGAGAAGAAATCGTGTAACCCGAAAACAAGAAGAAGGTCGTACGACGCGGCGAAGTAGGATTTTCCAATTTGCATGGATACGTTTGTAATTTTCACAGATTCGACAGCTGCTCGGCGGAGCCCTGAAGAGACGGCATATCGACGATGAAACGAAACGTCTAGTGAGTTTTAGCATATTCGTGAAAAAGTGAATCGAGTTCGAGCGTGGCCCTCCATTATTGCCGGTCGGTTCATTCTACTCGCTTGCAGCCGTAACCAGCCCATGACGGCTGTGCCTTTGACTACTAACGAACTTGCTTGACAGTGTAATCAATTTACACTTTCCTCGACGTCTAATACAACGCCGGAGCAATGACGCGACGTAGATCTCAGAAAACAAATCCTATCGTTGGAATTCAATTCTTTTCATATTTACGAGCATTTGCATTCTGAAAACTATGTTGTGTTATAGATACCTTCATTGAACGCTGTGTGTTCATCTAGATATTCCATACTTGAATATTAACGTCACTTTTCTTTTCAGAATCTAAGATTAACCGTCTGAACGCAATACTACAGTTTCCAAATAACGAAATACATTATCAGATTTTAAATAATATATTGCGAAGTTACCATTTCAGATTGCTTTAAAAAAAAAAATATTGTTTAATTTCTTTTTATATTATTCGTTGGCAATACTGATTCAAGGAAGAAAAGAAATTAGTAATTCGCATCTGTGTGACTTCTTAACATATTACTTTGAATGAAATTTATTCTGTTAGAAATCAACTGTTTCGTTTGTTTTTCGTAATTCGTTCGTTTTGAAGCTTAAAATCGTTCCTCCTTTTTTTTGTTCGAATTATGCTGTATACTTGTACTTTCACTCGCACATTTACTTCATCCTTACGAGCACCGCAAATGCTTACGTTTTTTTGTTATGCACATTTTTTTGTTTACATAGTTTCGTTTACATACCATTTTACGTTCTCTTTCGTAGAAACATCATTCATATTTTCCATTATTTATTTTTACGTATTAGTTGAAAATCATAATGGATCCGTATGAAAGTTCCATTAAAAAACCAAAGCTACGTGGCAACCAACGGGAAAACAAGAAAATGGAGATTGTTTCTAATTCTTATGTAAGTTTTCCACTCGCAAGAACGCGTCAACATTGGTTTGTCTCTTTCTTCTGTTAGAGTGGATCTGAATATTAACGCTTACATTAAATTACGATTTCGATTATTGAGATTTTTTTTATTCTTCGTACTCGATAATTTGACTATTCGAAAATGTAGTACACAATTAATTATCTCACGCAAATAATTACGCCCATAGCGTTACAAGCATTAAAGGATAATTAATAGAAATTTCACGTAGAATCCGTCGAAATTCAATTTGTCCAATTTATTATGCGTTACATGTGCCCGCAACAAAATTCTGTTGTGAAAACGTATATTTTCCGATATGTAGGTAAGCGACGATAATTGAAAATCGTAATTAAAATCAGTGAGCACCGTTTGTCTTAACTATAAGTAATTATTTAACCATTGTAACATTAAACTACAAAATAAACTCGTTCAGTACTTTAACTATACATGTTATACAGACTATGTACACGTGTAGAATTATTATTTGAGATTGTAGTAAAAGTCAAAATACATCTTTAATTAGTATTTATTTGTCCATATTCGTTCAAGTGATGGAAGCAATGATAAAACTCGAGTAAATTTGAACATTATTGGCAAAAACTTAATTTAGTAATTGAAACTATCACATACCCCGCTGAGCTAGTTCTCAAAAATTTCAATACCGATATTTACGATAACGAAAAGCCAATAATTTACAGAATAATTGAAAAAAGTAACGGTACGCAACTCTTAAAAAACTCTGAATGAAAATATTGGAATTTTACCATTGGGTAAGTAAAAATTGAATTTCGCTGGAATAAAACAACGAAAACGTTCGAACTGTATAAATCTATTAACAGAGCACATCAGAGCATCTATTAAATTAGCATATGAAATTCTAACACTGCCTACAGTTCTAATACGATCTTAATTACAAGAATGACACGCCTCCATATTAACATATGATAACTCTCTCCTATACTAACTCTCTTGCCATTTATTTCAGACGCATTAGCACTGGATGCTGAAATCATTGCTGCCATTTTGCCTCTCTATTATGCAAACCCAACTGTATGTTTGTCTTGTGAAGGATTCACTCCCTAATCGTAAGGCCAAACGTTCTAACGACTTTTTCTACCTCGGTTCGTGCAGATGGAGAAAGTCTTTAGTCACGCTTGGAGGGGTCGTCATGGAACCGAGACAAAAGAAAACACGCAGCTTTTAACTCAAAGGCAAACAACACCGGAAGAGATCCAAGTCCAATACATCGACGACGATCAGGTCCGTTTTAAGCGGCCGTTCATTGAATACGTAAGGACGATTTTGGCCATTTATGACCACCCCTTACATTCGCGTGAGGACGCGTAAGATTTCTTGGGCCACAACTCCCCCTTCTTAGAAAAGGTTCACTTATACTAAAACATGTCATCATTTTACATAAACCAAAGATCTTTACTTTTTTGTTGAAGTAATTATTTAGTCTTTGGAAAATGCGTATTATAATTAAAGGAAAGATTTGAAGCAATCTTAAAGTAATCAATCACTCGCTCCGAATTTCGACCTGTGGTAAAATATTACGTAAAAATGTCTTTTATCCCTCCTCCCTCCAGATCAGATCACCTAGAGACGCTTTAACCTGCCCCCTCTCTCTCGGGACCCTTGCGCAATTAATGAACAGATCCTAAGATGAACTGCATATACATATACATGTATAGATAGACCACCCAATATTTTCGTGCGAATACAATTGGCATAATTATAATAAATTATACGTTGTATTCACAGGGTTTGCAACGTCGACACGCTGTCGACACAACATTAACGGTACACTTCTTCGGGAAGGATGGTAACAACGAGCTGAAGTACGAAGAATTCAAGTGTTTCATGGAAAATTTGCAGCAGGAAGTTCTGGAACTTGAATTCCACGAATTTAGCAAAGGACGCGATACCATTTCAGAACTGGACTTCGCTAAAATATTGTTGCGGTACACCTACCTAAATATCGACGAGTGAGCATCTTGTCTCCATTTGTTGAATCTTTTCCTTAAAACGATATTCAAAATATTTTCATTTAAACGTAATGGATTTTCCGGTTTCAGGTACGACAAGTATTTGGAAAGGATAGTTCAAAACTCGGAATATCAGACCGGTATCATGTTCGAGGAATTTCGACGTTTTTATCAATTTCTGAATAATATCGATGACTTTGCAATTGCTATGCGAATGTACACTCTTGCCGACCAACCGATATCCAAAGGTTTGTAGAATCATCTTCTTTGCTTATGTTATCCATAAATAAAAAACGAATATAAAAGATGCGAATGATTTTTGGTTTCTCAATTGATCAAGATCTCGATTACTTGATCGTGTGGTCCTCTTCAGGAGACCACAGCTCGGATGATACGCAATAATATTAAAATAATTCAAGTACAAATTTAATTACACCGATAGCGCGGTAAAGCTATTTTAATTGTATATCTTTAATTATTTTCACATTATTATTTATCATGTAAGATCTAGTTTTCTGAAGTTGATTGATCACACAATCGTTCTGTTTATTGTTAGCGAATTTTCAAAATATTTCACAAATCATTCACGTGCAAAAGACAGTCTAGAACTGAATCATAAAGTCTGAATAATAATTCGTTTCTTTCGTTAGACGAGTTCCAACGTGCTGTGAAAATATGTACGGGAAACGTACTCTCGAATCATATCATTGACACAGTCTTTGTACTGTTTGACGAAGATGGCGATGGCCAGTTATCGTACAAGGAGTTCATCGCGATAATGAAAGATCGGCTACACAGAGGATTCAAGGTACTACTCGAGGAACTAGTTTATTTTTCTTCTGAACGTGTCATGGACGATACCAGGTACCCCTGGTAGACTGCAACCGGCGCAGGACTACTTCAGTGCATAGCTGGTCATCATTATCCAGGAAACTTAATAGCAGAGATGGGTAAAATTCTTGTCTACATACAAATTTAGAATAACGAATAAAACATAACTTCCGATACCTTATTTGAATAAAATTTATGATTTCGATTACAGAATGAAATTTATCCATTGAACTACTGTAATAACCATTAGCATTTGAATTTATAGAATAAAAAGAATAAATTGAATCATCAGAATAAAAGTAAGAATTTAAATTATATTTCATGTCGGTAAACGTTTAACAGAAAAACGATTCGATCAGAATAAACATCGTGAACAAATGACTACGCGTTGTTTTTATTCGTTGTCTATCAATCGAATGAAATTTTGCCCATCTCTGTTTAATCGACTGCCGTTTGTTTAAACATAATTTACTCTGTACAGATTGTTCCATTTGCGCACTGAATTTTAAAGTTTTTACAATGATACCATAAACAAAGTTTGAAAATGCAAAATAATCTAATCAGAATTTTATCGTGGTCAATGAAACAGTTACTCTTTCTAATAAGGTAAAAGAGTTTTATTAACACGTTCATAGTCTACTGAGTTGTACACGCACAAGTCACGACAGCTTTAACTTAGAAATTAGTGAACCACGCGTAGCCTTAAATAAATTAGTTGTTATGTGGTGTCTAGAAAAAAAAGTAGAATACTTGTAAGATGAAGGTTATCACCCCTTTAGATGTACAAGTAGATATATGCGTGCAAATCCTGACAGTAACGAATTTATCATAGGTTCGATATCCTAAATCGTGAATATTTATTGCTTCAATAGTCTGTAACTTTGATTGATAATCTCTAATTGATGCAATTATACGTCTTCTGTATACATTTTACAGTCGCAACAACGACAAGAGGGCTGGCAAGCGTTCACTTACTGTGTGAAGCAAGAGATGAAGGCTCGTTAATTGACAGTAAACGAGTGAGAAGAACCTCAAAGAAAATGCAAATATAAGTGCCAGTGGGACTCTAGTCCAATTTCAAGTCCTAGTCTCTTTGCTCTAATTTCATTGTGATACAAACAGTTACCATTATATACAACGTATAATTCTAGATCTCTACCGCCAGTTAATGTTCATTCGTTTTATTGCCTTTTGCTAAGTAGGGTAAAAACACCGGTAGTGGATACCTCAAGACTTCTTTCCTCGAAACAATTACCATATATCCTTTTGCTTCTATTTTAAAGTACCATACCAAATCGCTGAACCAGTCAGTGACTTGTTTATAACCTCTCGTGATTAAGATTATGTAAAAATATGATAGAATATAGCGTATCATTTGTTTTGGAACGTAAACATTGATTCAGCAGTCGTGATATTAAAAAACCTAAACTTCCAGTAGTCAGCACTTTTTTTTCCAGCACTGGATACTTCGGGAAAGCGTTAAGACAATAGACAACGTTGTATGATTTTTGTAGAACGAACTCCTTAATTTTAAGAATAGAATTAAGAAGATATCTTGTTTAAAAACATCGGCACGTGAAAGTATTAAGGAAATAAGGTACCGTTTTTTTACATTGTACAATATTTACAGATAGAGTCAGGACCCTGACAGTAGAAAATATCAGCTAGAAAAGATTGTATTCTGTAATATCACTAGTAGTAGCAATTATTACATATTTTTTACAAAAAGTTATCCACTACCGACGCACTGTCAATTACTGGTGCATTACTTTACCCATTTATTACGCTAACTTTTATGTAAGTTATACGACGAACTAGTCTCAACAAACGGATATTAATATCGAAGCCATGGATCTTGCCATTTTGCTAAGAGTTATCTAAGAGTCTATCACTTTATTAATAATGTAAAAAGAAATGTTTATTCAATGTTATATAAAATGTATTTTTGCTTGAAATAAAAGTTACGATAATAAAGGATCTTATATACTGAAATATAAAATATAAAACTGAAACTTTTTCCTGGATCCTGTTGTCCCATAACTCGAAGCAATGAATCTCCGATAGTAGCTGATCCGTTATAAGAAAGCAATCCCTGGAATGTAAAGTCCTTAAGAACAATTACGAACATCGCTGTATCTCCAAATACAGAAACATGCAAGCGAGTGTAGTAGATTAATAACGACAATCAAGCTGCATTTTCACTCTCAAGTTACAAAGTACCGTTCGTCCCACGTGGGACACGTCAATGGCCCAGTTCTCTCTTTTTGCTGCAGACTCCACGCAGTAATTGTTGTTTGTTATCACTCATCACACTGATTGCCGTCTGGTGGTCTCATGAATTGAGCCAGCGAAAAGAGACGTGCCATTACTTGTCCTTACGGCTTGACATCAAACGAACTTGGTTGGAGACAACGATCCGCGAAAAGCTTCCTAGTTCCAGAATAACGACCACTGTCTAGGCATGCAATATCCAAGCGAGTTTAAGCGACGCGGTTAAAGGCTTGAATTGTCGGATTAATTGCTTGGATGGTTCTAAGGCTGCAGCTTCCAAGTAACTGTACCACCAGTAAACGACAGCTCTATTGGTTTTATTTTACATGATTCAAATTTAATGTAAATACAATCGTGAACAGTTTTGGTCAGATTATTCTACTAAAATTTGTAGACAGTAGTCTGTACTTTAAAGACGCAATGAAATCATTTGCAGGAAATTGAATTATTGAAACGGAGAATTCGGTGGACAAAAATCCTGAACTCTAAGGAAAATGAAAATACGCGAGCACAATATCTGGTTATAAGCATCCGCGTGGATAATGTGGCTAAACCAACATCGAATGTTGTTGTCAAACTTGAACCATAGCTGCGTCAATGTTTGCCATTGAGACATGACATTGCACAGCCTTTACGCAGTCTGTTAACAACAGTTGAATTCCCATGTTCGTGCTAATAATAAACGCGAAAGTTGTCGATCAAAGATGAAATATTTTTAACGAATGTTTAGTTTTATTTATATGACGTGTACCAATCGAGGATACAAATAAACGACAGAAGAATGTACGATTTAATAGCTTACCCAGTCGATACTAGTTTTACGCGGAAAAGAACGATAGAAGGAATTCTAGATGTGGGAGATTGTGACGTCTACTACAGGTAAGCTGGTTGTTGCTATGCATTACCAAGTATCCGCGATTGTTATTAATTAAAACAGTTGATTACATTTTCCATTCTTTGATACATTTCGTAAATATCAGCTTATAGGGAACAACGAGGCGAAACTTTTTTACCCGAGACATTTTTTTACAAATTTCGTAATAATAGCGATTTCGTAATTAAGCTCTCGTCGTCAAAATTACGAATTGGAGCCTTCAATTTTCTTGTTTATTATATAATTACATCGTCGATACACCTAAAACTTTGATAAAAAAAAAAAAAAATTAAATCAAACAATTTTTCCATAATGGTAAAATTATTTGCCAAAACCACACTTCTTTCTTTCAACTCCTATAACTTTTTCAATTTTGTACTCTTCCTGCCATTTATAGATGCATCTACCGTGTAATTATATAATAAACAAGAAAATCTTTAGGTTTCTTTTTTTATTTAAGCAAATTCGTAGCTCGACGAGAGGTATACGAACACATCTATACACATACATGGCTTTACGCAAGCAATTTTATCTTGAAAAAAATAATTCGATATCGCCAAATATCCAATAAAAGACCCTTGCAAGTTTCATAAAGGTCTGCTTCGTACATTATTTCGAAAAAATTCGTAAAAAAAAGAATGTCTCGTTTTCGGCATTCCGAACCAGGCTCCCCCCTTAACTTCCTTTCGTCTTTGATAACATGTTGAAGGACCGCGGGGCGAGGACGCGGAAGATATAGCCAGGACATCGGTGGTGGGGAGCGGATCGCGAAGCGTTCAGGATTCGGAGCGAGCGCCAGACGACCGATCAGTCGCATTGTCAGAAGTGTCGGAAGGAAGTGTCGCGGCAGCACGGCCGCTCGTTCGATCGTCAGTCGCGAAAAGGAAGCGAATCGGTTCGATTCGTACCCGTCGCCCGCCAAACTAGCGCTCACAGCTGTGGTCAGCGTCGCGGTGCTCACCTGTCAACTCGCCGAGTCTTATCTGCGAGTCGCCAGCCGATACGCCACGTGCGCGATGGGCATGATGGGATTGCTCAAATGGGTGAAAAAGTAAGTGTTTGGTGCTCTTTTTTTTTTTTTCTTTTCTTTCTATTATGGTCGTCCGTTATAACGCGTCGGAGAACGCTCGATTTTGTACGGTAGATTCCCATCCCCCGTAAATACTTTGTGCGGGTAACTAACGTTAAAGTAAAAAAGTGGAGAGACGAAGCTGATATTCTTCGTTCTTAATTTAAAGTTAACGATTTACTTTTATATTTATTACGCGTGAGTTGTTCGAATGGTATACAACTTTTTAAAAATATCACCTTACAGAGAATGACGAGACGAAACGTTCTTTATATTTACAGTTTATTCATCCGACATTTAGTTTCGAAAATAAAAATTGAAAACTTAAGTCACTTTTCCCAATATTCAATTAGATCTTTATATATATCGCTGTAAATGAATGTCATTCATTCCATTCTCCATATGAAGATATTTTTGAAAAATTCATGTCCACTTGCGCGGAGCTCCGCACTTGGTTTTGTTAGTGGATTCCGATATACATATATACATATATGTATATATCGACTTTTTATGGTCAGCCAAGCTCACTTGTTGATTGAAAATCAATTTATTTCTTCTCTTTGAACGAACCATTTCCTCTCGTGTTTGAACGAAGTCCATTATCGAAGCTCCTATTTTTAATTGGACTCGATTTCTTATGAATATGTAGTACATAATATAGAAATATAACGTATTTCTTAAAAAAACAATGCCTCGTTAAACTGAAACCTAGTCTTGATGCACATTTTATAAATAATCTTAACACGTTGGCTGCCGGACTAAAACTCGCAAAAATCTCTACAAAGTTGGAATTTCGTCTCGAGATTATTCAAGATTATATAATCTAACATTTATCACAGTATTTAATTTCTTAACCTCGTCAAATTTACGAATCCTATCCAGATTTAGTTTCATTACCGGCTCATTCATGGAATTCATTTTCTTAGTTGTTTCATGAAACCGAAATCTTCGAGAGCCACAGGTGTATATTTAAGACCCAGAGGATTTTATCGTTTGGAAATGTTTGACGCCAATGACGATAACGGTTTCACGAATAGATACAACATTTAAATAATTTTATCGCGTATGATTAACCGTTCGTTCGGCGCTAGTATTGTCTAACGACGTGTTGATTTATACGATTTATTTACAGTGCGCCACTTTTAAGTGTCGAGTGTGTACTTTGTCTCGCGATCCGTTCGAAAAAAAGTTGTCTGCTGTGACTTTCAAAATTTCATCCGTTACCGTTAAGCAAGCAATCGAAAACACGTGTATAGACATAAATAAAGCTCTCTAGATCGATTTAAATCATGTTTACAATACAAGTGGAATATAATACAAATATTAATAAGTGAATTACGCTTATTATATACGCGAATAAATGATTGATTAAAAAGTTGTGTTAAAATGGATGAATAATAATAACAAAAATTGAAGTACTAAAAAAAAAAATTATTCCTCGAGTTCAGTGCAACTTTGACAATATTTATCGGACAGTAGTTACAAAGTACTCTATTAAATATTTCATTGAATAATTGCTTAGTAAGATGCTAAAATACTAATTAATAGTCGAGTTGTCTAACAAACTATGATAATACACTTTCAGAATTCGTTTAATATCACTCAGAGAATAATGTTGCAGAAGTAAAGGACTTTGCTTGTGTAACTTGGATGACAAAACGATCGGAATTAATGTTTGGACGAAAAGTAGAATACGTAAGCATATAAAACACCAACTGTCGGATTGTTAATGTCACAGTTGTTACCATGGTGCAGTCTTGTGTGTTTACAAAAGGTTTGTTTTAAAGAGCTTCGAACATAATTACCGCACAACTCTCGCTACCGTCGCCGAGTGCTACGACCTCTATAATCATCCGCGATAAAAATGACACAACCGAAAAAATAATGTAAATAATTCTCGTACGAGTTCTCCAAATGAAATATACGATAGTTATGCAATTTACTGATGAAAAAACAAACAAAAATTTGGACATCTATAAATAACTTGTCGTTAAATTCTTAAAGACGAATTCCCTTCTGATATCTTTTATCATCAATGACCAATCAAATAAACGCATTCTTATTTAGTAAACATGCAATCATTATAAAGATTGATTACCTACGTTAATACACAAGAAAGATCTTTCTGAAATTTTATTTTTGGAGTATATTACTCTCGTCCTTTTAATCTGAATTTTATTTTCAAAAAAGAATAAGAACTTTTCGATCCACAAAATTAATAACGATATTCCCTACACTCGCAAATAATTAAACAACATTTAATCTCACATCCATCGCCTTTTATTAACGTACGCGAAATATATCCTTTTAATTCGATTAAAATCCTTTATTACGATTGTCTAGACCGTATTGTTAATTTTCTTTTTTTATTTCCCGCGAGTGCAAACACGAAGTTGCGTGCGTTACAGCAATTCTACTCGGTTTTCGGTGACGTTTATCGTACTACATGATCTCCGTGACCTTCACCTATAACGTAACTCGTTGACAACTGAATTATGCTTTATCATAGGCGTCGCTGCAACCGGTCTCCCCGCTCCAAAACAGAGACACGATTTTCTGATACAATAATCAACCGCTACGCTAGTTTCTCCGGTGCAACAGTGAACGTGCAACACGTTACCGTGCTCTTCGTCAATTTTTATAGTTCAGTTCTACGTCAAACATTTTCTTCTTCTTTTCCATCCTAACGTGTCTCGCACAGGAACATTCGTAAAAACAGGTTCGACGAAGTGTAACGTTCGCGAGGATTGCATTCTCTTTGAAATTCTTTCGAGTTTGAACACCTCAACGTTAACGATTCCCGGGATGTATAGACTCCTCGAAACGACAGCGAGCGACAAATTATGGAAAAGATGAACTTTCAGGATATTGGGATATCCAGGATTTCACAGCGTTAAGGGGATGTTCTGGTTTAACCGATTCAAAAAACCTACGTTTTAAACATTTTTAGAATCTTTCGAAGATTGAGAAAAAATTCTCACAAATCCTGCAATCCTACAAAAGGATTTTACGAAATTCGAGAAATGTACGTAATTGAAGAAGCTTTTGTTAAATAGTACACGAAGCATGTTTCGAGTTGCGTGTCGCTATATATGCTGATTATATCAGCGACGAGGACACAAATATTTAAAGTTCTCGACTTGGATCCCTACGATGCAAACGAATTAGAATGCGTAGACCTTGTTTAAAAATCAATGAGAAAACGCGGTAGAGGTAAAGGTACAGGCAAGCCTAGCAAACAAACTTTAAATTTGTTTAAACCGACGATTCTCCAAAAGAAAATGGATTTTGTCGCTTGATTATTTTTTACGGATGAAGTAAAAAATAAAAAATACGAAAGACGTGAAATTAATTGTTATACAAATAACAATGTTATTATATCACATAATCACGGAGTGAGACCTAAAGAAGATAAAAGATATAAGTACGGATTAATAATTACGCTATTGCGAACGAACGAGAGACCTATATTTACAATCGTAAACGTACTAATAAATCTGCTTGCTGTAACTATGTATTATGAATCAATTTATATTCACATTCCAACCTTAATAAAATACTTTTATTCGATCAAATTTCTCTGTTGGATTTCCATGAAAAACGTGTAACAATACGAAACCCTAAAATACGTTCTTTAAAGTTGTGCATACCATTAGCCCAATTAAATAAGCGAATCACGGAAGCGTACTACTTTAGCCAGTTCTACCAGCTGAAGATTGCAATTTATTAGAATGCATTATCGTTATGCCTGGCTCTTTTTCGTCTTGGTTTATCTAAACCTGAAATATCCGGTGTTCCTAATTTCACTGTACGTACGAATTCCTATTTCACGGATTTTAAAGATGTGCTAAATTTCAAAGACGTCCAGCAGGATAATGATTAGACACGAGATACGAGATGAAATCTTAGATTACCTTCATCTAGAAACTGGAAAGTTTTAATTGTCGAGTATACCGATAAAATCGATAAAGTATTATAATTTCTAGACGAAGGCATTAGCAATAGCTTCTTTATGTTTCCTATGACGTTCTAAATTAGTCTTAACGATTATGCAATTAACCATATTTCTTGACGCGCATACGATGGTAGTTAAATTAATTATCTGACTAAATTAAACATGATTAATATTATTTTATATTGTCTGTAGTATTTTAAATTCGCCATTAATTAAAATACATTTCAAATCTTTTAAGATAAGTAGGATATAAATAAATAATTACTTATTAAGATGTGGAGTAATAGCAGTTGATTGTGAATCAAATACATGCATTTACGTGTAAAATTAAGTTGACGAGTAATAAGTTAATAACGAACAGTATAATGATAATTGGGTATACCGAAGAACAGAAAAAAATTCAATGCTGTTAAGATCAATTCTATCCCCTCGGTTAAACCATTGGGCAGAGTTTAATTGATTGTTCTGGTAATCAGTCGCAGAGATTTCCTAACAGAACTCTACTTGATGCTTCAATTGAATCGAAGAAATTACCTCTCTTACTTGCATGGTTTCGTTAATCGTAAGTTTATTTTCGTAAGTTTAATAGATCGTAACGCGAAACTCTGTATATCACAAACTCTCCTAATGAACCGTCTGCAATGACTTCAACATCATCGAAACCATTAACGCTTTACTGCAAGAATTTCATTTTAAATTTCGGCCCGTCAAACAATAAAAGAAAAAAAAGTGTCTGCTCGCGTCTATTTTACATTAATTTTTTTCTAAAGTAGTTCACCTATAATAACAAAATCGTCTCGATACAATGAAAATCGACGGAGTTGTGCGCATTCGAAAAATGGCAAAATTTTGATGAATAATTTTGTCGCGTAGTTAACAGAAATGTCTTTCCAAATACGTTATAATCAAGCATTTATGTATAGATTGACAACTTTAAAAAAAAAGCCCGCGAGGGAGTGGTCTTACTTAGTTGCGATAGGGGGCACGAGAAAATTAGCGAGTAGTGGGGATGAAAGTTACACAGCTATCGGACGTCATCTGATACTATTTGATACAGTCTTTCCTAAGCAGCGTGTTGCTGCACATCACTGCCGCGAATGTATTTGCCAAACGATCTGACGATCTGTTCAATTAAATCTTTGAAGATTTTTAAAATAGTTACTATAATTCTGTACGTTTAAGAACTGTGACGATCTTCTAAATTGTGCCAAGAGCTTAAAAAGTTGAAACTTTAATATTTAATATCGCAATAGTGTTGCGCTAAAACAGACAATTAAAAAAAAAAAAAAAGAATTAAAATTAAAATGTGAGATTGTGCGATATAAACGGGAATAACGTGAAAATACCACTAAAATGAAACTAAATGAGAAACTTGATGAAATAGCATGATAATGCCACCTCCAAGAAATTGAAGGATAAGAATTGAAGGATAATCTAGGTCTATTCCTAATGTAAAAAAGGACATGGAAATATTGATAATATTTTATACAATTTAATTGTACGAAGTACAAAATATATAAGGCAATTAACGTCTTGAAAAATATGTTGATAGAAACAACAAATAAATCCATAATTCTAACATAAAAAGATGAAATATAATAAAACCTCGTTAAATTTATTTAATATGTGTGACAAAATGTGATAAAACAAAAATTGTATGGTTTAATGAGAGAATTACAATGTTTGAAAGGTAATTTCTCCAAGTGTCCAAGTTTATTAGTTCATCTGTTTTCTTTTTCTGGGTCAAGAATTAGAATTCCTTTTGTTAAGATCCTTTTTGTCTAAGGTCACTCTAAAATATTTCTACTAAAAAACAATGTTTAGAGTGCCGAAGTTATAACTGCTTATATACCATGAGACGTTTCGTTAGACTAATTGAACTAATTGAAATTGATTGATTAAAAAATACTTCTGTCTTTTTTCTGAGGAAAAAAGTACTATATTTTTCGGGCCATTAAAGTTACAAATTTATTGGAAAAATCGAAGATTTAAGTTTAAAGCGTCGTCACTTCGTCAATTTCCTGTAATAATTTTTTCCTTAATTCGTGCTACAACCACGTTCATGATGCATAAAAGAAAATCAGTTTTCGTTGATTTGGACCAACAGCGGAAAGAAAGTGACTCTGATTCGCATAAACGTCTCGAACCTACGATTACGCGTTCTAAATACCGATCAACATTTTATCTTTCGATCGAATATACCGCTGTAGAGATGGAAAAATAGAAAGAAGAACAAAAGAACGACCGCGGCAAGAAAGGAAGCTGTTACGGTAACAGTGTCGTTGTTCCGTGATGCATGAAAATGGAATCAGAGAAAGTAGAATTTCGTGGAGGTCTATGAATTCTGCGGTTCGAGAAACAAACGTTATCGTCTATTCATTTCCAAGACGTGCTTCAGTTCTTCCTTTTCAGGGAGAACAATCACAAAAAGAAAATACTCGAATATTGTATGACTCGAAAAACACGGATCAATTTGAATAATTTAAACAAAATTCGTATTTAAATTTGTTTAGCATTAATGACGTCTGTTTTGTTACCAATTCGTTACGTAAATTCTACGTCGTTGATTTACCAAATTTCTGTATGTTCGAGCCAATAGAAATATCATAAACACAGGGTGTCCCAAAAGTGTTGGAAGTCGTTGAAAGGGGTGGTTCGGGAGGTGATTTGAAACAACTTTTTCCTTAGCGAAAATGTTGTCCGAGGCTTCGTTGAGGAGATATTAACGGAAAACACTGACCAATCAGAGCGCGCGTATACCGTTGGAGCGACTAGGCGTCCGCGCTCATACGCTACCGCGGCCGCTCCACCGGCATCCTCGCACTCTGATTGGTCAGTGTTTTCCGTTAATATCTCCTCAACGAAGCCTCGGACAACATTTTCGCTAAGGAAAAAGTTGTTTCAAATCACCTCCCGAACCACCCCTTTCAAAGTGTTACAACATTTTTCGGACACCCTGTATATCTAACAAGATACTTATTTTTGTTGCAGAGATATTATACAAAAAGAACGAAACGTATGGAATTTAGTACAGAATCAGTGTGGACTGAACAAGTAAGTAATATTGTTATAAAACTACTTTTAAAATACTAATAATCAGTCCGATTTCGCCACAAATCAAACTAGATTAAGGCACACTTAAGGTACACTCTATATACGCAGTAGGAATAACGAATAACGTTTTATACGCATAAAATTATAATTATAATATTAAAAACAAGTCAAATTTGTACAAATTCTCCGAATGAAAGTATTTTATCTAGATAATGATCTAGATAAAGATTTATTCGGAATTGTTCCAACAACGTAAAACCATGGTTATAACATTCGTAATTTCGGTGCATTTTATATCAAATCGTAACACTAACCTCACATTGTTCCGCTACACACATTTTTACAAAAGCATGCAAGCAAATGACATTTATAAAACAGGTTTTACGTTTAATACGCTAATTGTAAGTTGATTTATACATTGCACGCGTGAGTTGCAAAGGTCCATAGCACTCGTATTTTTTTACCACAAAAAGATCAATGTCAGGTTAGGTTCCGGTCCATTGTAATAATGTAATACCTCGTTGAACACGAGAAATAGCGATCATTATCACCACACCTTCCGCGGGAAATTGTTCAGGTACTTACATATCGCGTCCACCGGCATCCACAAAATGGTCCCACGCGTTGGTTCGGATTCCTACATTCGACTGCATTGAGGTTATTGCTTAGTTTCACGTAAAACTTGGTTGAATTTACTTACACACACTGTTTGTTTGTGGTCCATGACACTCATTTAATAAGAATTTCGAAACAGTTGAAAGTTTAACAATGTATTGTCGCGATAAACTAAAATAACGTAAAAGAATTCGATAGAGACGCTTCAAACTGGAATGCACAGTGTACCACTCTAGAAACACAAAAATTCAACCTTAACGGCATCGACAAAAGGGCGCGCACAAAACCAATTTTTCAAAAACTTATTGTTGTTATTAATGTATTGAATTCCAAAAAATAAATCAAATTTGAAATTAGTTGTAACTTTTATTAGTTATTGTTAAAGTATATCAAATGTTTCAAACAACAAAGAGATTTGCCGACTACTACAGAAATGAAAATTTATGCATTAATTTATTGATAAAATTCATTAAAATATTAAAGTTATTATTCGAAATAGAATATGCTCTATATTGCACTATTAAAGATATTGAGAATTGTTTTAACATTATTCGTGATCAATAATTAACGAAAATTCGATGTTTCATTACCTCGATGAAATGAGCCAATCATAATACGAGAAATACGGTAGTGACCAATGGCGCATCTTGCTTAATAGTATTATCGATATAGATCGATGATTCGATCTACTTTACGTGTTACCAACTGTGTTGTCAACCCGTGCAATTGGTTCGACGGTTAACTTTTCAGTTTAAAACGAAGCTTGGCTCTTTTCATCTTAAAAATGACAGATATTGTGTTGAATCGGGAAGGAAAGAAATATAGACGCGGACGAGCTGTCTCGTAAGTGTTATACATATTTTCCGGACGAAAGCGTTAAACGGCTTAACCTATTTGTTCGCGAATATTGCAATGAATAATTCAAACTGACACCGTCCACCGTGGTCTTCTAATCGAGGTCGTAACGTGCTTTACTCTTCGGATAGTTGCAATGGTTTTTCTCTTTTGATACTTACCTCTTACTTCTGTCCGATGCATAAGAGATAAATTCGCTGCGTAGGTAATCGCGGCGCGTTGTTTACAATGAAATATCGACTGTCTTTCGTTTCGTGTGGATTCGTTTCTATCCTCGTATGAATTTGTCGTGATTTCAAAGTAGCCCTCAACTTTCGAATTCAGATAAAGTCAATAAATATAATTTCTGTGGTATCATTACATGTGAATTTTATTCACGATACAAATTTCGTTGCGCGTGGTAGAGGTTAAAAGTGTTAACGAGCAAATACAACATTGAATACATTAAATATGAAGCTAATAACGACTGTATGAAATTAAAGGCAGTGGTTCTCATCTATCATTTATTTTATTTGCATCAATGTTCAATGCATTCGAAGTAACTTGAAAATAGCTGAAATCGTAACTTTTTAATAAAAAAACTGACGACCGATAACTTTTTAATAAGAAACGTAGGTAGCTATAACTTTTTGGGGATGCTCAAGAGCGTGACCTCCATACACTGTATGAACGTGTTTGAAGCATCAGGGCCGACGTGACCTTTTGCGGGGCCGCGTTCAAAAATTTTGCGGGGCCTGAATTCACATTCAAATCTTACACTTAAATTTTACAACGAGGAATGATTTATTTACAAATGCTATATATTTCTTATAAGATGAATATTAAATAATAATACTTTGATGATTTTTGTTACTCCTTTCAATTTAATCATTCGCTACTAAAAAAATGTCTTGCATCTCAACAAAAATTGCTTCCATTTGTTAATGGTATCATCATTCTGTAAAAAGTTGATCAAAATCGATGCCTTTTAATTGAGTAATTTTCGTAGACCGCGGGGTCGAGAAGTGTAATACTAATGATACATTTTTATCGATATCATTTTAATAAAAAAAACATTGTGACCTCTCGTGTTTCTATTTTCCCTTTTAAAATTTCCTTTCAAAAATTAATTATGCCCGTTGTCTACAGTCACTTTATCTCTGTTTCCAGCGAATCTTACCGCAATGCTCTGCAGGCTTTTATAGATAGAAGACGAATCTCAAGCGTGGAAGCAGATGCACCATGTAGCCCTGATAAATCAAAACCCGACCTCCTTTGGCCAAAAATAAACAACAATAAATGCGACAATAACCGGAAAGCGCAAGAATCACAATCGATCCTACCGGGTGTGCCGCACATACCTGCCTCGGAAATTTTCGAAATCGGTTGGGTACCAGGCACGGAAGACCGATACCTTGAGCTGATTTTTGCCGAATGGCAAAACACCAGAGTTTCTCTGAAGAGGCATACGCATCCGGAGTGCAAAGACGCTGTGAAAGCCGACTTGGATGTACTCTCGTACGTACCGTTTAGTATGAAACGACTTCGATTTGTAATTATATGCGTGTTGTGATTCTGTTTTCGCACTCGGCAGGGAAATTCAGCATCCAAACGTGCTACTGTTGATGGCCACCATCCATACGGACGACCACGGTCTGATCTCTATCTTCGAATCCATCGACTGCACCCTCTACCACTATATACACGATCAGGGTGAACGAATATCGATACAAGGTATCGCTAAATGCGGAGGAAGACTGTCCGATGCCTTGAGGCATACACACATGCGCGGCTACGTGCACACTGCCATCAGCTCGCATTGCGTCTATCTGGCTTCCAGCGGTATGATAAAACTTGGTGGATGGGAGCTAGCCAAGCACATTGGTAGCGTAAGTACGGAGATTTACTTCTTTCTTTTCTTTATTAAAGACCAGCTGCGCCTCGCGGTTTCACCTGTGCGGGATACTATTCTATGTCGCTCGTGTTCAACTAACAGTTCAACCCTTCATTCTTCAATCGCGTGTTCCTTCGTGAATCGGTAGGTGACTGTACTTTGTTTTCCGTAACTCAGATATTTCACTCGATATTTCTGACAAGCGAAGTTTGGCAATTATTACACGCCGATAAATTTGAACTTTTGCAGAAATAATGGTCATGAAGACATAAGGTCGATTCAGACTATACGACACGGACCGTCATGTTCCAGCAACGACACGTACCGGTATCGACACGACAAAACATTAAAACATTTAAAACACCCATTTTAATGGAACTATTCACACTATTCACACTATTCCCGTTGACGGAACGTTCAGATCGGTGTCTGTTAAGTGTGAATAGTTCCATTAAAACGCGTGTTTTAATGTTTTTGTCGTGTCGGTGCCGGTCCGTGTCGTATAGTCTGAATCGACCTTTAATCACAGCGCTCTTTTCCATTTTAGACCAAAAGCGATTTTAAGGGTGGAAACACCACTTCGAAATAATTCTGATTGTTTATATTTTTGCTAATATCTCTGATGCCATAAGAAATATCGACAAAATTTTAAATATAAAATTGAATGGTTTTTAATATTCTTTAATACCGTGGTAAGAACCTTTTGCGAATTCTAAAAAATTCTAAAAAAAACCCTTCTGCATGTTTTCTGCAGAGTTCCATGAGATTTACAAGGAAATAAAGTTTCAATCCAAAATATTCATTGTTACTGGAGCTACGAATTTTTAAAGATTAGGCAACTTTTTAAATATTTTTCCGTCAATGTGGTCTAAAAGATATATTTAATTTGTCCTGCAAACACAATCTCCTCCGATTCTTTAGAGCGACACACGAGCAACTGAAATTGTGTGATATAACGCCATATCCGTCCTTTCATTGGCGCACCCAACGGTACTTCGAAGCAGGAAATTGTCGGCGTTGTTTCTCACAAAATGTTCATTTTTAAATAAATTCACTGCACCGTGATGTTCTTAATTACGGTCACCGACTGAACCATGGAAATACGCGTAAATCATAGCAGACAGACGAGTCAGTCCGTCGGTATTATTTTTGAACAGATGAGTCAACAAAAAAAATGCTTCCCGATTGTTCTTTTACTTGAATCACCGAAGTGTTGTAATTCGGTATAAATCAGTAATTGCAAAAGTTTGTTTGCTTTGTTCGTGTTAATTCTTTATTTTTGGATCTCATTAAAGCCGAAACAAGACAGGAAATACGAGGAACGTTTAAGGGCAGAAATCTTCCGCTGGCAAGCACCAGAACTTTTTCACAGTTACGAACCACGCAAGGAGAGCGATGTATATGGACTTGCTATGCTGATTTGGGAAATGTGTACAAGTAAGCTTATCGAATGATAGCTTTTAATTCGTTGTTTATTCAATAAAGAGGACAATACGTTATCTACTGTTAAAGCACTTGTCATACATGATCTAGTGCCCCGTCATCACTCTATGCATACTCCTGGCTGTAATAAATACTGAAGTAATCTTTCTGTTTCTGATTACGGCTTGCTGTTTACAAGTTGCATAGTAATGTATAATTAGCGAATAATCTCAGCGATAATTAATTTGTCACTAATTATTTATGTCACGATTAGTACTTCACGAAGTGACAAAAAAATAATCAACTACTGTTCGACTGTATTACATGAAAATAATAATAATAATAATAATAATAATAATAATTAAACTAATAATGACGATTTCCTAATATTCTTTCGTAAAGACATTTCGTTAGGTACAAATTTCTACAAAGTTAAAATTTTGACTCGAAACTATTAAAGATTCGATTATTTAACATTTGTTGTATTATTTAATTTTGTTCAGAATTAATTTTTTTAGTTCCTTAATGAAAAGTTTTGCCACTAATTTCTGGGTCGTTCAACGTGTTAATAAACGAAATCCTAGCGTGGAATTATTTAATGATCCCAAGTAAAGTTTAAGCATTCGCGGAATCTATACCTCGTAGATTTCTTCGGCTGAACCTGGTCCATTAAGAGATTAACGTTTATATTGAAACTCCGATGGAATCTTGATACAAAAAATGAAACAGGTTTTAAGCTGATAAGGAAACGAAATCACATTCGCTGAGATTAATCTCATAAAATTGCGTGCAAGGTTTAACGGAAATTCGATTTTCCTTTACGACCGGTTTATTCTACACAATAAACAGCATTTCGTAATTACTGTGATAACGTGATAGTTTACGATATTTTTTACAGACTCAGAATCCAGAATTGTGTTTCTTTTCTCATTCGGATAAACAAGTAGAATAATTACACGCGTATTGTTTTGTATGTTTGTACGTATGCATATGTATATTGTATTAAAAAGCTGCTTGCCTTTCCTTGATATCGATTTAATTATCTAAAGGATATTTTCACGACGCTATTAATTATTGTCATAGAGTTATGCCATGTTTCTTATATAATAATCGCAAATTGTAAAAATGATTTCTCGTTTATGAACAGTGAACGTACCATGGAGCGGATACAGCAGAGCAGATGTGGACAGACATTACACACACTGGAAACGTGGTGTCGTTACGGATTCATACGATTTCCCACCTTTGCTTAACAATCTACTAGAAGCTGGACTGCAATTGGACGTCACTAAAAGAACGTTAGATATGAATCGTATGCGTAGATTTCTACAGAGACTAGAGGTTCGTTTTTTTTCTGAAGATGGCATGACTAAAATAATTTAGTAGTAATGTCATATTTAGAATTCAGGGGATATACTTATTTTTACCCATTTCGCGGCAATTTTAATTTATTTTAATTTATACATATATACACAATATTCTGTTTTTACAACTATCCTGCTCAATGTGTTTTAAAGTTATGTAGAATAGTTCACATTACGCCAAGCGGAACGGGCCTAGAATGTTTTAACAGGATTGAGTTCGAGTGAAGGAAAATCTAAAAGTTACAAGCAAACGTATAAAGAGTTTTTTTTTATTTTTTTATTTTTTTTTTTTTTTTGTAACTTAATACATAATATTTAAAAATATCTATCTGTGTTATTTTTTGTTTACCTTTTGTTTAATAATAAACAATAACGTCTTTTGGAAAAAATTCGGTCCGAGTTACACGTTACCGTTTCTGTAAGTCACGCGGATTTACATTTTAAATGTGCTATACGGACTCCAACATAATATTTCCAGATGCAGTACGAGGATGAGGAACCCGTGTACGTCGATCAGTACGCAAACAACAATAACGAGAGCGGAAAGACGTACGTTTTGCCGGCGACGAAACATTCCGTGGTGATGTCGAAAAGTAAGGATTCGAAACTTGCCAAAAGTGCTTCGATGAAGCAGTTGTACCCCTCGAAAACCTCTGATTCCCCAGCAAAACAGTATTTGCACTCGAGGAAAACTGTATCCAAGCAAAATGCAAGCTCAAAGACGCCGACGCACACCAAACAAGCGAACCTCTTCGTAGATGATATGAAACGCACCCCCAAAGATGACTTACAGAAGGGCGCAAACATAGTCTGCGGCACGCAGAATAATTATAGGAATGGAAGCTATTCGAATTGCGATTTAGAAACGACGGACATTCTGAGGGAGAAAGATTTCGAAGATACTTCGGACACTCTGCAGCCGTGGCAATGCGCCTACAAAAAGGTGAGGGGACCGGGGGAACTCGTGGACTCTAGAACCGTATCGATATATTCCTCACCGTTGCCGGATTCTACCGACGATGAATCCTTCAAAGATGCGAGGACCAATTTGGAACAATTGAAGAAAGCATTGGCGAACAAGAGAGAACACTTCTTCTACGGAAGTGATTCGTCGTCCAACTCTGCAGACTCAAGTAAGTACGATAACAATATACAGGGTGTCCCAGCCTTAGTGATACAGCGCTCTAACTCCAAAACTATCGGCCGAATGCAAAATTTCAAATATGCAAGTTGCATGGTAAAGTGGGGCTCATGTTTCAACGAGAACGAATTTTTGTTAACTTTGTTCGTTAACGGCCGATAGTTTAGAGTTAGAGCGCTGTATCACTAAGGCTGGGACACCCTGTACAGTGGCAGTTATATGTTTGCGTATGAGACACGTTTTGATTTTTAATAAAGTTCGCTATGCAGACCTTACATTTTCAATCAACTGGCTGTGTATAATAAACTACAACTAACGATTCATTAGATATATTACATATTTTTTTCTCTTTAATACGGTTCAATAATCATTAATAGTTTCAAGGATGACCACAAACGACTGGTCTAAGTTACGAATAATAAATGGCACTTCGTAACTACACTCAATGTCACTGAGCTTAATACTATAAACTTTATTCTTAATAATTATGAGTGAGACTCAATTATTCCAATTTCGTTAAAACACGTGTATTATATTAGGTCAGGAAACTAAGAACATAATATTCGCCCAAGTAAAGAGCAAAGACTATGAACCACATAAGCCAGCTAGCCACAAAACTAGTTTGGAACCGAAATTCAATAAATCTCCTGGTCAGTATGATCCGTCTTGTATGAAATCGTCGTTTCAGCAATATCGAAAGGTATGATTTTAATCTAAAGAGCGCCTAAGAGTACTCTTAGAGTATCTAAAAGAGTACACCTGAATGTTTCTGCTGTTGCTAACGATACGGAAATATGTTAAAAGCTAATGAAAATATTGTAATATGCAAGAACATATTAAGGTTACTTTCTTTTCTTTGAAGGTCGTCAATGTTTATTTTATGGGTATTATTATGATGACATCTTTTTAACATAGTGTAATACAGGGTCATCCGCTCGCTAGTAGACATAATGGAGAAACAACAATAGCCGACCGTCATTGTAGATTTTATGACGGTGACCCCCGCAGCGAAAGCGGCTGTATGTGTTGTCCTTCTGTCTTACGATCTCCGAAAGTAATAAAGATATTTAGGTGTACCCTTTTAGATCTTCCATTAGACACAATTGGTAATTTAAATATGTCGGTTTGTATTATAGATTCCTTATTTGCACACGCCAGAAAGCATTAAGGACGCTATAGCGCAGCCACAGGTACTAAATTCTGACCCGCAAAGCTTTTTCGAAACTTCTTTGTGGAGAAAGGAAAAGTTAATTTGTTTGGCGAAAATGAGAAAATCGTATGGAGATGAATCGGTACACTCAAATGATACAATTTGTAATGGTACTTTGAGCGAAAATGAAACGTCGGAAACAAACTCTCCAAAAAACGGTAATACATACATTATAAGTAGCGCAATGCAAAGTAGTAGATTTAAATTTATTTCAACTTAATAGAGATGGATAGAATTTTATTCGAACAATACGATTAAAGACTTTTAAAAATTTTAATTCGGTTGAAGAATTATTCAGATAAGCTTTCATTTGTTTAACGTGAATTTGTTATCTAAATGAAAAATTTTGTCCACCTCTGATTTCAGCGTGTACCTGTTAAAATAACGCGATACTATTGTTATTTAATTGTTCTAGAAAAATTATGACTAGATTAATAATACCTCCGAATTTTTAACGTCTTTTTGTCTTTGATGTAATGAAAAATTCTAATAATAATAAAATAATTAGCTACCGAAACAGAAACCAGCCAAGACGAATTAACAGAAATTCCTCTGCAAAAAGACATAAAAGACGCATTGGATCGAGCTACGAAAATTCTACTTTCTGCCACGCCAAAAACTGATGATGTGCGTTCGACATCTTCGTTTGAAACATACTCGGACTTCGACGTTATGTTGGACGACAGTCAAGCCTGCAAAAACATTTTCGAAGAAACGTACAATTTGCGAATGAACGACGACAACGAAGAGATCAAATGTATCGAAAGATCGACAAAGAGAAACGAAATGAATTTGTTCGGAAAGAATGATACAATTGATAAAACGGCAGAGACAAACAAATCGTTTCTGTTCAATGAAAATGATATGATAGAGAAAAGAACAAATATCAATGAACCCCAACATGACAATGATATTTCCATCAGTGTTGCTAGTTATGAAAATCCTTCTGATTCATACGATGCAACGTACAGCAGAAATTTTGTTTGCGAATCTATCGCCGAAGTATCAAGTGAATTTCTCAATGTTTCCTATACCGATTCAAAATTAAACAAGACAACCGAATTGTATAGCAACTCGGAAACCACCGTCGAGAAACAAGAGAAGAAACCCTTAGAAGATGTACAACATATTTCTGCGACGATCGAAGAACGTGATAACGATGTTCGAATACAAATTAACGATAACGAAAAGAAATCCGAAACAACGAATTTGAATTTCATGTTTTTAACCGACACGTCGAAAACTAAAAACTGCAAATCATGTTGTCCGTCCGATTTGCCAAGGCGACGTTCTTTACCAGCAGCATTGAGCCAGTTAAAACTACTTAATAATTCAACGTTAGGGAAGCTACCTATACGCAGAGGGGTAAGCAACCTATTAAATGTGGATTTAATAATGAGATGACTAAATAATTATCACATTTATTACAGGATGTTCCAGACAACACTGTTGAAGACTTATATATAGATGACGAATTCGGCGATAGTTTGAACGTTAATATGGTTTTATTAGATGAAGATTTATTATACGATGACGATTTCTTACCCGACTTACTAGAAATATAGGATATTATAAAGTAATTATCATTTCCATTATCCAAAACTGACGAATAGTTTATTAAATTTCATTTTTAAAAAAACACTTGAAATATTACATGATCATTACGTTCCAATACTGTTGGAATAATCAGAACTGACAAGTAAGCACCTACAAATGTTTTATGTTCATTTTCAAAAATCTTCATATATTTTGTAATTTCGATTAGTACATTAACGTGTATCTCTATGTTACGTAAAATATGATCAATTACTGTAAAGTACTATAAAATTAAAAACACAGTGACATATATTTCATGTAAAACTTAAGTGTATATAATAAATAATACCATTTATATAGAAAATATAAAACAATACAAATAAACGACTTTGTAATTACAATTTAGTTAAAATAAATTTATATACATGCAAGTAAGACATTTTTATTAATAAATATAATTAGTGTTTAAAATGTAATGTATTTGCTATATAAAGAATACATAATAGTTGAAAGGAAAAAGCAATTGCTTGAAACGAATTTGGGTATTTTCTATACCTTGATTACTACCATTTATGCGAGATAATAAACAAAATTTTAGTATTTTTCTTTCATTTTTATCAGAAGCTTTCTAAATACAAAAATCAATTAAATTGCTAGACCAAATACAGAAACAATACAGTACATTGTCTTATTTTCCCAACGTACTGTACAACTGCCATCGGTAGCATTATCCCAAAAGCAGGAGCTTGCAGTATGAAGTCCAGCCCCGTTCTTTTGCATAATGACACAGGTAACTGAAAACATATTTTGCTAATATTAAATCAGATATTAACAGAATAAAAGCAAAAAATAAACTTCTACTATGTAAATAAAAAGAAATTCATATATTCTCATAAATATTTACCTATATATTTATATGGTTTTTGTAATTTTGTAAGATTTCCCAAGCAAGCTTCAACAACATTCGATGTCCACTGATTTACTTTATTGTGTTGATAAGCATTACCCCCGATGGATACTTCAATTGCTTCTTTAATTATCTTACTTACATCATCGACCACAAATTGGCTCTAAAGCAACGAGACATTTAATTGACATTTTGTAAGTAAAAATGATATGAAACGAATAAATAAAAGAATTGTGAAATATGACTGGTAAACAAACGTCGTCAACATGTACTAACCTCTTCTTGCATATCTTCCATCATCTTGTCAAACTTTTAATAAGTTGCACGTCGATGAATAATATTTATGCAAATCCAAAAATTACAAATCCCTTTAATGAAAATGGAATTAATAGCATGACACTGTTAATGCCGCATGTGATGTCACTCTTAGCAATGATGTATCGTTACAACAAAATTACAGAATTCATACATGCATATTCAACTAATTTCAATTTCCTCATACCTCACGTATTCCTGCGTACGAAAATACCGATTCAAATAAATTACAAGACGCTTTTCATGACAGCACGCTTAACTTAATAAAACCATACGTAACGTTTTCACCACATGCTCCATACTACATCAACTTGACAGCTTGACACAAGCTTGACAGAGTTACCAGGTTACCACGCGAGTACAATTACGAAGGCGAAACACCGTTGTGTTTCAGATTCCGATTCCCAAGTGCATATCAGACAGCAGCGATGGACAAAAGAGGAAATGAGACAAACATGCCGGCAAACTTCAGATTTATTCGAAGCCTAAGGTTTTGCCCATCACTGGTGCGTATGCATCCTCTATGGAGTATCATCAGAATTCTACTCGGTGTCCTCGTTTTTTTCAGATCAAAACCAGCTATAAGCAAACTAATGCGGAGTGATGCAAAGAATATTTTAGAAAAAGAATCGCGAGAAAATATTGCTTCTTCTCTTCAAACAGATGGCGAAGTTTCGTTGCTGTGACATTTTGACATTGAGCTCTATCCTTAGCATAGAGCTGAATGCATTTTGACGATTTGTATGGCAACATGGCTGCTTCGCTATCGTGCTGTCCACTTGTGTCCACTGTGCAGCGCTGCTGTCGTCTCTGGTGCGGTGTTGTGCCAGTGATGCCAGATTTGTCTCCTAGTCGTAATCAATTGCAATCAATTTATGGCATCCCTGATACTGGGTCTTGAGTATAAGTGAGTTTCGATGTGATAATAAACATCGAATTATAATGATGTCGGCGGCAAGTATTTAATTTTTTTTTCATCTTGAATAACGTGAGTCTGATAATAACGTTTATTGGGATTTCTAGATACCTGGAGGCACAATGCCTTCGCAAACTAAGGATAACCTTAGTTTTTTACATGCTTTTATAGCTTCCTTATCAGTCATTGTCGTTTCTGAACTAGGCGACAAAACTTTCTTCATTGCTGCTATTATGGCAATGAAACATCCTCGAATGACTGTTTTTGTTGGAGCGATTAGTGCCTTAGGATTGATGACTGTCCTTTCAGGTATTGTCATTCATGAAACTCTTAAGAGATATATTTATATTGCAGTAAGTTTTTCAATTATACAGTTTTACTTCAGTACAGAGTTTCCTATGTAAGTTAAATACCATATAAAGATAATGTATTATTAAGAAAAAGAAAGATCAGAATCAGCTTAATACATATGATGTAGTGGCTTATCTTGTGGACTTTCATATTTGATAGCATAGGTCAATTGATTTTCATATGTGAAAAATAGAATAAAAATAGAAACCTACAGACACTTTTTAATGATATCACATCTTAATAATATGTTAAGGTTGACTCAACAAAGGTTGCAGGGAAACTAGCTATTGTATTATACATTTGTTTTCATTTCTCTATAAAATGAAATTTCAAATTTGTGTGATTAGTGTGATTATATTTCAGTTTAATTTTTAGTAATGTTTGGATATGCTGCAACTATAGTCCCTCGTGCTTATACGTATTATATCTCTACTGCACTTTTTGCTATATTTGGTTTAAAAATGCTAAGGGATGGTTATTATATGTCTGCAACAGAGGGACAAGAAGAATTAGAAGAAGTACAGACTGATTTAAGAAAACGAGAAGATGAGGTATCATTATTATGATTTAAGTAGTCAGAAGACTATTAATATAGTTTTTTGTAAAACACTTGATTCATAGCTACTCTTGTAACACTCTTACAGAAATTAAATAATTTTTTGATATATCTCTTTTTAGTATGAAAAGGAAACAGGAAGCACGCTAGTGCAAGATGTAGAAACTGGTATCATTAGAAAAGCAACAAAAATCAGTGCATTGATGCTTCTCTCTAGGATATTTCTTCAAGCATTTACTCTAACATTCCTTGCAGAATGGGGAGATCGCTCACAACTTACAACAATTATACTTGCAGCCAGAGAGGTATGTAATGAATATATTTAAAAACTGAAACTATATTACTAAATATTATAATGAATATGATACTAAATATATCAAATACATAATGATCTTTGCATCAATCTCTAAATACAACCAAGATCTATTATTTTCAGGATGTGTATGGCGTTATTGTAGGTGGAGTATTAGGACATTCATTCTGTACAGGATTAGCAGTATTAGGTGGTAGAATGATAGCTCAGAAGATTTCAGTACGAACAGGTAAAATATATAGAATGTGATAATATATAATCAAATTCATTAAATATTAATATTCTCTAAAAAAAGAAACGCAGAACAAAGTAATACAAAATTGGATATTTTTTATTTCTAGTGACCATAATTGGTGGATTAGTGTTCCTATTATTTGCTTTAACAGCACTTTTTATCAGCCCTACAGAAGATACGCGATACAATTGATAGTATTCATATTCTTAAGTGGAAGACAATATTGTACATATTATTCACATTCGAAAGTAAACTGTACACAAAAACAGTTTTTAACAAAATTATGGAAGGTAATTAGTCCTAATACCTTGCTAGCATTTTTTATTTTACATCTATCTGCATGGCGACTTTTAGTATAAATATTTAAAAATCATATGATTCATATTATATCCGCGCTTCCCATATTCAAGAAGATTGAGTCAAACGAGAAAACGTAACATAGAGCGTGGAAGATTAGTCATGTAAGAAAAGCGGTTGACCGGTGGGATCGAATATTCGTGCCTTATTTTTCGTTCAGACTCTTACATATATATTTTAGAAAACATTCATATAAATAAATAGTCCTTACTCTGATTACAGAATAATATAATGCAATCGGTGATACACATGCGTATTATGAGTATTAAATAATTATATTATTCTGATTGTCCAAAGTTTGTAAATTAATAATGCCTTATATTTTGATATGTTTTGCCACTGATAATTCATCTTAATCATTACATCCGTATAGATTACAGTAACCTCGAAGAACTATGTCTTTTATTATTTTGTGAAATATGTACACTCAAAGTATTTAAAAAAGAGTATTTGTACAAGAGAATTATTTTCTGTAAATAGATAAGAATAAATTTATTGTATTAACAAACTTCCATGGTATTTTTTTTTTTTTTTTTAATTTAAAACTATAATTATTTCAAGTTCGTCTTCGATATGATAAACTAATCTGAATGTAATTTCTATTTTATTTTTTAATGGGAAACATAGAAACTAGTACTATAGAATTATGCAATAACAATTGTTGCTGATAATTAAATTCGAATGATCACAAAGTACTTATATACAATAATTCCTTGCTTAAAGATAGAATTCTAGTAGAAGGCTAGAAAAACTGAATCAACCACATTACTCTTTACGTTTTTTAAACTTTAGCAACCAGCAGTCATGAAATAAAAAAACTAATGCAAAGTAAAAACTTTTGTATTTCTCATTGTACAACCCCGTCAATAAAGGAATATTGTTGACGGACGGCAAAAAATGATTTCACATCAGTGGATATAAATCGTTTACATCACCAAAATGAAACATTCTGTATTTACTGTATTCTGCTTTAAAAGTGGAGCTACATATATACATATGCGTTAATGTAACTAAATTTAATGTAAGATATTAATGTATAACACGTGTTATAACGATTCATTTTGTATTATGTTTTGTTAATAGATATAAATACAATAGTTTCCTAAGCAAGAGTTTATAATATAATCATAATGTAACATATAATATAATGTAATATAATTATAAAATATAAATACAATATTTTCCTGATTATATATTTTTAAAAATAAAATTTTTTCGAAGAACGTTAAAAATGTATTAGATTCTTGTCACGATTTTTATAATTATTAAGCAATCATCAAGGATTTCAGTGAGGATTTCCGCTTCGCTCGATTGGTTTGTTACATTCTAAATATGAATTATCAACTTTTACGACTCGCGAAGGATAGTATAAATCGTTGCAACATTCAAGAAACATTTCTGTTACGATCTCGATTTTTGTTAAACGATCATCGAGGATTTCGGTCTTGGCTACACGTTACTTCGTCGGAAATATTCGATTTATTCTATTGTTTATTAAGTTTTTACATATAAATAATGGACCTTGGTACGATTTCGATTGAAATTAAATAGTTATAAACGTTTTTCGGCGATTGGTAGGTGCAAAATTTGAATTGGTGCTCTCTATCTCTCTCGCACAATTTCAGCCGTAGGTGCGAAAGAGAAAGATATACCGTGCGAGAAGGATAGAGAGCGACGGCGCTGCTAGCGCCATCTAGCGGTTGAATCAGGGAAGCTCCGACTGAGTAATAGGATAACAGGACGCTAGTGGAGGTCTACGCTTGAAAGTGTGCGAAAGAGAAAGATATACTGTGCGAGAAGGATAGAGAGCGGCGGCGCTGGTGGCGCCATCTAGCGGTTGGATCAGGGAAGCTCCGGCTGAGTAATAGGATAACAGGACGCTAGT